TTGTGTCCACTAAGTATCAACAGCGTGTTTGCAGGAGTACACTGATATCCTGCAGCTGTAACTCACCAATTTATGCATAGAGATGATTGTGGATAGTGGGTGGGGAACACCACCAATTATGTTTATTCATTTCAGATCCAGAGGAACCACAGTATTTTCTATCGATTGACACAGAAGATGTCCATACCTGAGGACCACATTAGAACTACCATGTGTCTTTTGGGAGATAAGGATGCTGTCACCAGGTCACAGAGGTATGACAGTGCATCCAATTTTGGTTCCAGTTCATAGTCCTGCTTATACTGATACTACTTCCTTTGAAGTATAACTCTGTATAACTCTACCAAGTATAAGATGTTAGATAGGTCGTTATTGTTACCAGTTATTTATACAATTTGATACAATTATCAATCTACAGCAAGGGACGAGTTTGTGCTTAATACATCAAGCGTATAGCACAAATCCGCATTTTTTGACTTTGTTGTTTTAGTTTAAGCATGGTATTATTTGCTTCGGGTCTTGTTTTCTCTACCATATAGCGATCTTACGAAAACCCTGTATTGACTCTCACCTTGCCTGAGATATGACGAACACACCTGAAACAAGTAATGGTTTCACTGAAACAGAATAAATCATTTCTGACAGTCTTTAGCTTAGTCTGTTTGACTCTTTGTGCCGCAAACATACAGACAAATAATATGTAACTGTTTGTCGACACTGCTGGCCAAGTGTTATTGACTTTGAACTCCTACAAGAATAACATCTAGCCTCTCTGGCTCGGTAGCATAACGTTAGCCTGTAGCTTGTAAAGTATTTGGCCTAAGTTTTAATGGCGCCATTCTAGGTCTTTCAGTGGCTCTGAATTTTTATGATAGTTTGTAAGAATTATTCAACAGTAGCAACAGCACAGCCCGACTGGCAGATTTCTTTGCTCAACAGAAACAACTATTAGAAATTATGAATTTAGAATATCTTGACTTGTTCTAGAAGGAGGCTGTTCTTTTTGCAGTGTACCTCATAATCCGAAATGCTTTCTATTTGTGAAAGAAATGTCTTTGAGTGGAACACGATACGTTTGTGTTACATTGTTGGTTCTCCATTTACAAGTCAGGGTTACATGTTGAGTCACGTGGGGGCGGCGCGGGGGGGCGGGCGCGCGGGGAGGCCGGCGGCACGGGGGGGGGCGGGGCGCGCGCGCTGGGGGGGGCGCAGGGTCCCTCAATAAAGGCAATGAACACCATTGTTGTGTTAAAATGAGACGAGTAAACACCACACTCATTCCTTTGATGAAGGACGCCAGCTCACATGAACACCAAACACACAACACACACCCCTGTACTGCTGAGTGTTGTGCTGATTTTGTATGCTTGACTGTGACACAGCACACCGCAGCAACCCACTGAGACAAGGTCGGCCAGCCTCCTGATTGGCTGTCTCCTAGCTGTGACTCTGGGTTTTGAAGGTTTGTAGGAGGAGGCGAGGTGATCCGAAAGCTGCACTGCAACACACAAACTTTAACGTCGACCTTTGCTGCTGCAATCCTCCGGGGGTTCCCCTCAGGACCGAAAAACCCACTGATTTAAAATAGCATCCTGAATCACAACGTGGAGCAAGCGCCAGCAAGTCAAAAACGATATATTGAATTCTTAAGTGAGATGTTTGTCTCCATCCTTGTGTATAGATAACACTCGTTGTTCTAGGTACACAAACATAAGAGTAAAAAAACTCGCATTATTGCAAAAACTGAGAGAAGATACAAATGAGAACAAATAACAGTTTTCTTTGTACTCCAAACTTTCAAGTTAAACAGCTATATGAGTTTACTTTAACGCTGTATAGTTATAATTAACCAACATACTGGTGCATATGCTCAGGTTGCTTCTGCATTGCATAATTCTAATTTTTGAATAACGACTATAAAAGAATTACCTTATTTATCCAATAAACCTTCACACAGAATGTTTAGATACACTGCTTAGCGGACTGACACTTTCGTGCTCTCTCACGAAAGCGAGGATCAAGTGAAAACACATAATATAGTCATTTTCTTCACTACTCAATGGTACCTATAGGCGCTACCTTTAACAACATCCTCATAGAACCACATAGCGACAGTTTACAGATGATCTCAGGCACACCATAACGGTAACTAGTCACCATATCCATCTCGTTTCCTCTTTCTAGACTCAATTGGTCCTAAATTAACCCATAACAACTCCACCGAGCAGCACTGATGGAAAGCTGGGGCAGAAAGACATCCCGTGCGAAGGGTGCAAGACAGACAGTGTACGCATGCAGGAACAAAGCACCATTTTCTCTCTCTGAAATAAGAAGTGGATATACCAAGATATTGTTAAATCCATCACAACAAGAGGACAATTGTGTGCACCTGAGGACAAGGTGACAGAGCACCATTATGAGCAGAAGTGGCAATGCAGCCATTACATTATGTGGTTTTGAGCAATGTGGAAAGTCAAATTCTGATAAATGCAGGATGTCACCAACTGTAGTTCTTATTACAAGTAGGTGTAGAGAAGGGTCAGCGGGTTGTGGAAAAGTGGCAAGCAATGAAACCATCAAAACTGCATAATATGATAAAATGGTGTAGCAAATATCCAAAGATGCATTTTATCATATGGCTGTCTACAGGGTAGCTGCTGAGGGAAGGGAGAGTGGCTGCTATTCAGTGCTGTTCATTTCCTCCCTACTCCACAAATCTTGTAAACAGCTTGGCCTAAGAGGGGGTCTCCTTTGCTTTAAAAGTAAGGTCGGAGACACCGGTTTTATTTTTGAGAGGTATCCACACACTAGATTAACATGACAGCAATAGCTTGTAAGGCTCAGTTCTAGGCCATAAATTATTAGTATTGTCAGATCTGGAGTACCGAGTGTGTGTTAAGAGATCAGAGAGACCTGTAGTGTAGTATCCTATATATAACAACATCATTTAGAACTCCATTTAAGAAAGGTCGGTATTATATACAGGAGGTGGATTCAAGAAGTGGTACATTCTTTAGTACCTTGTATCAGTGCTGATGTCTCTGACCATCCACATATAAAGTTTAGATCTTCATTTTTCGCCATGCAAGCAGGACGTAGCGCAAAAATAGTCCTGAATTTCATATATGAGTGCTTCCCAATTTACCAGATGTGGATACGACCTGCCTGGAGAGACTTAAGAGTGAGCAGCACATCTCTACTACCTCTAATACAAGTACCAATAGATGAAACGTCAGACAAAAACATACATTAGACGATTCAAGCAATGGTTAGTTTTACAAGGAATTTCCATTGGATTGGTTATAATATTCGAGCCATGAGATCTCGTACACAATCGTATATAATTATGTGGGCAGAGTTAGCCACTCCTTGGCAGCCCCTTTCTCCAGTGGATTCCCCAGATCTATACAGCCAGTACTTTTCATCTAAAGTGAATTAAACTTAACTAATTTCATTCCAACTATGTAATAAATAAAAGTGCCGCTTATTTAACACACCCCAAAAGTATCATTATACTGAGCAGCTAAATAATTTTAAGCACCCACATTATTGAGATTAAGCAAACATTTAAAATGCAATAAAAAGGAAAAGTCTATGGAGGTTTAGAAAGGGATGAAAATTGTTATAGTACGGGGCCGAATGCACTTATAAGAGATTTCTGCAGTGAGAACTTTAGTCTATGTTAATAAACACGTCTCACACATAAATAACTAGTCCTTCGCGGCTCCAACGCGATTGCACTCTTTTTTTTGGTCCGCAAAAAAAATGGCTTCCATCTCTTTGAAGCTAATCAAAAGGTTGCTGACCAGGAGATCAGCAGTTTTTAACAACTTATCCTGAGTGGACACATTGGATGTCTGAACGCAAATTTCACTTCATCTATCCAATATATGTTGTTATGATGATTATTTCCAATAAAAAACACACGGTGGTGCTTAAGGAAAAAGTCAGCGGGGTATAACTCTATATGGGGCGGATCCATGGGGAGATAATACAATATGAATGTTTTGTAACGAGCTTAGCATTGCAATCTATCCCAAACATGTGTTTGAGATAGTTTAAAGAGGAGAAAATAACAGTCAGGAGGCGCGAGATAAAATTGCCATAATCCCATATTAAATACCAATAAGCCATGACTGCTGCACACAGAAAGTCGGTAGCATATTAACGAACAATAACAAATACACTCAGAACATAAGATTATAGACCAAATATAAATGTATTAATGTTTTTGGCTTAATGGCAAAACATGCATGTACACAAGGTAACAGGACCAGGAATTTGTCCACATTTACACTATTCATCTAGAAGAAAATCAAGAAGACGTTTATTACTATAAAAATACTACATTTCCTTTAAAATCTTAAAAACTTACCAAAACAATTTACGCAAGGGTTAAAAAGTTCAATCTCCTCTCAACATCTCTTCTTGGTGAGCGAGAGGTTAATTATGGTGGGTGGGTGTATGTGAGATAGTCTAATAGATACTGAACCAGCGACAGGCACAACTATTTAGAAATTAATTTTCATCAGCAAACCAAAACTGCCTTTCTTGTGAGCTGTGTCCTGCAC